TCCAGAGGGCATATAAGAACTTTTTCCTTTAAATAGAAGAAATGCATGAAGGAATTCGAGCAAAAACACTTGAAATTCCTCTTGGAAGTTATAAACGGATGTTTTCTGCTTAGGTTGTTGTCATGGAATGTCAGGGGTACAGGAGGCCACAGGAACTCTGACGCTCCTACATGGGCTTCCCTACCAAAGCCATTGATCCAGTCTTTGTAGAAACAGGTCTAGTAACAAGTCAGGAGTTCACTCTCTCAAAATAGAGTCCACTGCATTTTTAGCTCTGTTGGTTACAATTATAAACCTCTGCAGGAGTTTAACAGCAGTCCAGCATTAGAGAGCCCAGTGAGTGAATACATATGGTCAGGAGTGCAGTAAGATGCCCTGAAAAACACACAATGGTTTATTTTATATCGTTTCCCTTAGAAGCAGGGTGAAAGTGTGGGGGAGGATAAACAAAAGGAGGTCTCTCTACAGGATTCACTTTTATTCTTCTTACTCTTAGAGAGCCTTCTATCAGCACATTTCTCCAGCCTCAGGAATCGGGGGCAGCTAGCATTCAGACCCATGGAGAACACTTGCTTCTTTCGTGCCCATGAAATGAGAGAGACACACTTAGAGGAAGACAGCCTTCCAGGCAGGACAACTAGGAAGGGCTTCTACATGTCAGACTGCTCCAAATGATCCAGTTTTTAATATATGTTATTAATTGGGAATTAAATGGATAACATCTTTATTAAGGTGTCTTTCATAGAAAACTTGAGTAAACGGCCTTCTAAAGGCCAGAGTCTAACTCTCAGCCTCCTGTCTCAGTCTCTCCCGCTTGTGAGAGCAGATTTTTGTGTGGTGGAGTTGATAACTTTTAAGGCCTTTTCTCTTAATAACTTCCCAGAATATAATACATTATTGGTCATTATCATCACCACGCTGTACATTAGATCACAGAATTTATTCACCTTGAAGCTAGCAGTTTGTACCCTTTGACTGAACTAACCTCATTTTCCCCCAGCCCCCAGCCCCTGACAACCACCATTCTCCTCTCTATTTCTTTGCGTTCAGCATTTTTAGATTCTACATGTAAGTGAGAACATACAAGATTTGTCTTTCTCTGCCTGACTGATTTCACTTAGCATAAGGCCCTTATGGTCCATCTTGTTCTTGCAAATGACAAGATTGTATTCTCTTTTATGTCTGAGTAATATTCCATTGTATATATGTATCACATCTTCTTTATCCATTCATCCTTTGATGAACACTTACATTGTTTCCATATCTTTGCTATTATAAATAATGCAATGAACATGGAAGTACAGATATTTCTTCAAAATCCTCACTTAATTTCTTCAGTTATATACCCAGAAGAGGAATGTTTTGATCGTATGGTAGCTCTGTTTTTAATTTTTTGAGGAACCTCCATACTTGCCTTCCATAGTGGCTACACCAGTCCACACTCCTGCCAACAGTGTACAAGGATTCGCTTTTCTCCACAGCCTCACCAGCATTTGCTGTCTCCTGTCTTTCTGATAATAGCCATTCTAGCAGGCATGAGGTGATAGCTCATTGTGGTTTTTTGATTTGCATTTCCCTGATGGTTAGTGATGTTGAGCACCTTTTCATGTACCTCTTGGCCATTTACATGTCATCTTTAGGAAAATATCTATTCAGTTCCTCTGCCCGTTTTTCAAATCAGATTACTTGCTTTTTTGCTGTTGAGTTGTATAAGTTCCTTATATATTTTGGATATTAACCCTTTATGTGATGTGAGGTTTGCAATATTTTCTCCCATTCCATGAGTTGCCTTTTTATTTTTCTGATTGTTTCTTTTGCTGTATAGAAGCTTTTTAGTTTGATACAGTCCCATTGCTGATTTTTGCTTTTGTTGCTTGTCATTTTGTTGTCATGCTGGCAAGACCAATGTCAAAGAACTTTTTCCCAATTTTTTCCTGTTGTATTTTTGCAGTTTTAGGTATTACATTTAGATCTTTAATCCATTTCAAGATAATTTGAGTGAGTGGTGTAAGGTAGGGTCAATGATTTCATTTCTGCACGTGGTTATCCAGTTTTCCCAGCACCACTTATTGAAGAGACTGTCTTTTCTCCATTGACTGTATATGCATAGGTTTTCTTCTGGGCTTTCATTCTGCTCCACTGATGTACAGATCTATCTTTATGCCAGTACCATACTGTTTTGATGGCTATAGCTTTGTAATAAAGCTGAAAATATGGAATTGTGATGCTCCCAGCTTTGTACTCCTTTCTCTAGGACTGCTTTGGCTATTTGGGGTCTTTTGTGGGTATGAATTTTAGAATTGTTTTTTCTGTGTCTGTGAAAAATGCCATTGGAATTTTGATAAGGATTTCATTGCATCTATAGATTAGATGCATAATTTTTTTAGCTTTTTATGAAGATGATTTCTTCTTCTATTTCATCCAGCTTATTTACTTGTTCTCACTTGGACACAGTCCAAATTACTATGCTGTCATTACCAGAAGTAGAGGTATGCAGTATCCTCCTAGCTGCTCTCACTGTCTCCAGTCTCTCTTCCCTCCAGTTCCTCCTTTACAGAGTAACCAGGGAGTCTTCCGAGTCACTACTCTGTTTGAGTCATTCCCTTGCACAAACCCTCTAAAAGCTTATGGTTGATTCTAAAATCAAAATAAAATTCCTTAACCTGGAATTAGGTCCAAAATGGTCTTTCTTGCCTCATCTATTTGCTGTGCACTGAGTGTATGGTGCTCACTAGGCCAAGTTCTGCCTAATCTCTTGCCTCTCGGCTCTCTTACTTCTCGTCTCACTCCAAACTCACCTGATGCCCCAGCCAAACCGGATCATTCACTGTTGTGTTGCAGACCTGGGTCCGGACCAGACCAGAGACAGGCTAACTTCCAGGTCAGTGCTCAGGGTAAAGTCCATTCAATCTAATAAACTAACTACAAAATCTCAACTAGTACAAATCATAGTGGTATTTTGTACTTCTTGTTGCTTTTTAGGCTCTTTGTCTTGTGAGTTGGAAATTGCAACCAAGAGTTATCTCTAGGGAGACCCGAAGTGAGGGAGGGGAGGGCCCTCCGGGATGTAAGGTCGGGAGGTGAGTTCATCAACATCATCAACTTTTTGGCCATCTTCACCGCCACGAGGGGATCTAGGAATAAAACTACAAGCGTCAGGCTTGTTTCACCTAACAGATGAGGGACTGATTGCCTGTGCAAATTGATTCCAGGGTGCTGGGAAGATCCTGCATCTAAATAAATCTACTCCCATCTGCTGGTGGTTGCCTGAACTTCCAGTTAAAGCTGAATCACTCTAAAAGTATAACATCCTGGAAGTAGGCAAACTGGAAACGGGGATTCTAGTTTGGCCTTTATTGGTATGTGAGCCTGGACCAATCCCCTTTCCTTCCCTGGGCCTCAGTTTCCCTATATTACAAAGCAGGTAGTTGGACAGAATGATCGGGAATGGCCCTCCCACTTTTATCAAGCAAGGATTGTCTCTGTAAGGATGCCTGGGTGGCCAGAGATGATGAAGGCAGAACGAATAGCCACAGGGGTGGGTTCCATCAATCCACTCCTGTATGTGATAGTCAGGGACGTACGGGACCATCCTTTCTTATTTCTGCATCCATGTGGGAAGGAGAGCACTTGCTGCAATGGCAAAGGGAAGAGTGGGGCAGGGGGAAGAGGAGAGAAGGTATGAGGGTACTCTGCTGTTAAAGGAAGTGAAGACAATGGGGATAAAGGGTTTAAACCCTTAGCTGCAGGAAGCACTCGCCCAGGCAGGCAACTGAAGCTTTGCTGGGCACAAACATGCCCAGCTCCCTTTGCCAAATACTGAATCAAAGGGGAAGAGGGCTGCATGTATATGTGAACGTTCTTGCTAACCAAGAGTGAACTTGAAATCCATTTTCTCAATAGCGTGCCTTAGGAGGTTAAGTGCTGGTGAACGGGACTGAGGTCTGTTTGTATAGTGCCCATCTGGCCCATGGGCTCTGAAGGATCTCTCTCTCTGAACTTGCATTGTCATGAATCTGAGATGGGAAGGACAGAGGAGATTGTGTGGAGGAATTTCCTTATCCTCTGAGATCCTTCTGTTTCATAGGACAGTGTCTGAGGGGTCTGAAAGATTAAGAGCCCTCTGGTCAAAATTCCAGGCTTTTCCTCATGATAGGGCCAGAATGCAGAAGTATTTGAGTGGCCTGCTCTCCAGAGACTAACACCCTTGAACATCTGAAACACTGGCCTTTGTCTTCTTTCCCCTTCCATGGTGTCAGCCCTGACCCTCACTTCAATTCTGCATGCCGGGGCTATGGAACAGAGACACATCTCAGGGTGGACCCCGCTGGCGAACCCTTCCAGCTCCCGGAGCTGTGTCCTGGTGGCCCAAATCTGCGACCAAGAGGACTCTGGGAAATTAGAGTCTTCAGGACACTCTTGGGTCCTGGAACCAAATTTCCATCCCGAGGGCACTCCTGCTATGGGGAGAGCTCTGACATAAAATCCATCGGTGATCCCCTTCCACTCCACCCAGAGGCAAGGCATGTGGGGTTACTGGAGGAGCAAGGGAATGAACAGCAGCCCAGATCTCTCTCGACCCCCAAATGTGTCCAGCTATTCCGGAACGCAGATTCAGCCAGGGCAGTCAAATCACCTCACGCCATTCACCACAAAACCAAATCTTGGTCACACACCCTTCCAAGAGAAAGGCACATATTGCATTTTTGCACAGAGGACAAGCAAGCCCGACCGGGGCCCCCGGAGGGGGGCCCGGCCCACCCCGCCAGCACCGCTCCCCTACCGCGGCGGCGCCCCGCCCCTGAGTCGGAAGCTGGCCGGGGTGGGGACTCTGCAGAAGCCTGGAGGGGCGGGGAGGGGGGCCGGGCAGAGGCAGGAGCGCGCGCCTTTTTGTGCGGCTCCTGGCACCTGCCCGATTGGTTCTGTCGGTGCTGCTGTCGGAGTGGGAGGAGCCAGCCTGCGCCGGCTCGGTGCCCAGTCTTCGCCAGGAGCTGCCGCAGACGGAGCGCACCTCGCAGCCGGCGGGCGCGTCCTGGGAGCGCTGCGTCGGGCAGAGCTGTTGGGGGCTGCGCCCCCCGGAGTCTGGGCTCTGCTCTAAGCCCCGCGTCCCCTGCTCCCCGCACCCTCGCTCCTGCCTTCTTAACAGCAACCCCCCCAGTTTGCACGCGCCCCTCACTGCCCCCACCCGCCCCTCTCCCAGCAGTCCCTCGCGCCCTCCAGCCGCCGGAGCGCCGCGGCCATGGGCATCCGAGGGACGCTGCGAGCTGCCGTGTTCCTTCTGCTCATCAGGACCTGGCTCGCGGAGGGCGACAACCCCAGTCCCGTCCCGAAATTCCACTTCGAGCTCTCCACCGTACCCGAAGTAGTCCTGAACCTCTTCAACTGGTAAGCGGGCGCTGCCAGGCTGGGCTTGGCGGCAACCTGGGCGGGCAGGCGGCCTCAGACCTCTCGGACGGAGCGGGCTTGGGGGACCTAGACCCGGGGGCGCCGAGCCCTGTCGCGAGGGCCCTGCCTGCAGGTTCCTGAAGGGGGTAGGTTGGGAGCGGGGCCGGTGGCAGAGACAGAGCCCTGTGCTTCTGCGCACCTGTTACAGCGGCGCCCCACAGAGCCCCGCGTGTGCCCAGACTGCAACCCCCGGAGCTGGCGGGGGTGTTCTCACCCCAGGGTCTGCCACCTATCCCGGGAACTAAGGCCCCGGGCACCTTTTCCCAGTCATGCCCTTTGACACCTGTGGGATTGGGGTGGAAGCGGGTACAGGGTGATGGGCAATTTACAAAACAGACAGTAGAGACACCTGTTTGAGTCCGGATTTGAGTCTATTCCCTGAGGCGCGCGCGTGTGTGTGTGTGTGTGTGTGTGTGTGTGTGTGTGTGTGTGTGGTGAGCCGTGAGGGACTTTTTCCAATACCGCAGGTAGTAATTATTATTGACTCAACCTCCTTGGAGCCCAGACAGTGTGCTCCGTGGCTATATAACCATATAACGGGAGGGGGGGCTGCCATGGGTGCGTTTTTGTACTTACTCTTCTGAAAACATTAGATGATTCAGGTTTTTTTCTGTGTTCAATTTCAAGTTTGTTTGGGTCTGCAAATACCTGAAGAGATGTTAAATAGCCACCCTTTACACGTAGATCACACCTAAATATGTATTTGCAGTGGCCACGGATGCCAAGTGCTGGCATATAGGTAATGTGTGGTCCTGAGCAGGTGGGAATGCATTGCTTTAATTCAGGAAGAATTCATGTGCACACTTTGGAATGAAACAAAATAAAATCTTGTCATTAAAGATCATTGGGAATAATTTTTTAATGGCGAACCAGAGAACGTGTATTCAGGAAAAAATAGGAGGAGGAGCAGCTGGGCAGCGTGCCAGCAGGCGGCCCTGCAATAGCCTTAACCCTCCGTACCAGACTGCGCTAGTGCGCGCGCGCGCGCGCGCACACACACACACACACACACACACACACACACACACTGAACTTTGCAGGGGCTGATGTCTGGTCAATGCGTCAAAGATGCTAAGAGTCAGAGTGGCAGTCCCTGGGTCTGTTCTCATTCACAAGCCCTTTCTGGGGAAAAGAGCCCTGCTGAAGGTCTAGGTGAATCGGATGAGCACATCAGAGATTTCTGGGAAGGCCAGCTCTCTGGCAGGGTTTAGCTGCATCCACTTACATGCGCTCACCCAAAACACATCTAGGCTGGGAGCACATGCTTCACCAGAGAGATGCCTGTCCACAGAATATGTATCTTTTTTAGGACAGCCCTGGGCCCCAAGAATCTGAAATTCTTTGATTAATTGAGTGGGGGTCATAAATCTCTGCCACATGAGCAAGGCGCTCTATCTACATCATATGCCCTACGCCAAGTCTTAAAAACAGATGTGTACAAAACTGAGATTGACTTAGATGTGACAAGAAAGTACCCAGCTCTAGCCCAGGTAGGGGAAATGTGGCTGAACTGGAGAAGGCAAATAGGTTGGCTCAGCTCAGGAGGTCACTGAGGGTGGAAGGTGACGTTGCCTCAGGCAATCAGGCACCCCGGGAAGGAGGACGCCCACCCCCCTGAAGAGCTGCATCCAGGCCGTTGGCAAGGTCCAGCTCCTCAGGTGGTTGAAGTAATGTGTACATTTCAGGGCTCGAACCTGCCCATTCCCTCCCCTCCACATTCCCCCCCACACACTGTTCCCTCCAGGTGTCCCCCCCCAAAGTCTGCCCAGTAACAGGAATCCAGTCTTTGCACCCCACTCTCCTCTAGAAAAAAAAACTGGGGAGAGGGAGGGCCAAAGAGGAGTCTGTGTCACTGCGGTGCTTCGGCTGACTCATGGAAGGGAGGGAGGGGAGCAGGGAGAGACGTGTGCATGTCTGACTCCACATGTCTGCATGCCTGCGTGCGTACAGGAGAAGGCAAGGTCCTGCCTGGCAAGCTGATGCGTAGGGTGCTCTCTGTTGTTTGTTCTTTGAGAAGCAAGGTAGCATTTACTGATGACTTCTCTGTTTTCAGCAAAAATTGCGCAAATGAAGCTGTGGTTCACAAGATTTTGGACAGGGTGTTGTCAAGATATGATGTCCGTCTGAGACCAAATTTTGGAGGTAAGACATGTCCAGATACTAGAGGCCTTTGTGTTAGGTGGAATAGAGCTGAAACTCCACAAGTCAGCCCTACCCAATAAGCTGACCAGTGGCACTCCCCAGGCTCAATGCTTCTGCCTCTCCAGACCCCCCCTTCCTGACTCTGCAGCGACCTTCAGCCAGCACTCCCAGACAGCCAACCTCCCAGCTTTTTGCTCTACGAGGGAATTTCTCCTACTTCGTTGTCTTGCGTAAGAATGCAAGAAGCTTTCTGGTCCCTCCCTTGCACTAGCACCTAGCCTGAAGCGCACTCCCGGGTGTGGCTGCAGAAGCGCTAACCTCAGATGTTTTGTGTACGAGACAAAACGTGCCATTTTTGTCAGGCTAGGGTTTTCTGTACCTTTTAATGTGAGGGCAAACATTCCTTGCACCCTGGACAGAAGCTCCATTCCAGTAGTTCAGAACCAAGGGCATGGTCTCTGTCTAATTCACGTCACTCACCGGGGTCCCAGGCACTTCCACCTGTGCGCCCCCTTCTTCAAGCCTTCAGCTCCCACTAAGTTCAGTTCATTCAGCACACTGCAGTCAGTATGATCTTTATAAATCCAGCCTGAACACCTCAAGAACCTTTGATGGTTTTATTTAACTGCCAAGTAAAATCCAAACTCCTTAGCCTAGCCCTCAAATCTCAAGCACGGAGATGAGAAATGATAAGGAAACTGAACCACAAACGTCCAAGAAGCCAATAAGTTGGTTTCTCCTTTCGTTTCTATCTCACCTCCCGCTCTGGCAAGGGCAGCTGACTTGGATCACACAGCTTTAGGGGAATAGGGAGTAGCATCTCTGGCCCAGGGGCCACCCAGGAAACCTAGACTAAGGACAGACAAAAGGAAGGGGGCATTAAATAGAGGTTAGTCACGTTTCAGTTCAAAGGAAACAGAGCTAAAATGCCAAGTAGCTAAGGAATTCGTTTCATGCAGGTGGTGGAACTGGGCACTAGACTCTAAAGGGTTAATGAATGCTAATTGCACATTTGTGCACATGAATAGAGGTCTTTGGTTTTATGTAGCCTCTTTCCTAGAGGGCCCACAGCAGGGAGCAGTGGCCCTTGGAGTAGACCAGTCAGGGGCTCCGATTTGCCTGCAGAGCCACCTTGAAAACCTAGGCGGTCTCCCTGGGCACTAAGCTTTGGAGGTGGGACACTTGACTGGTGTCCTCTTTGCTGCATTGCTCCCCCTGAATGTGAGGGCAGAAGATATAGCCCCAGGACTCCAAGGTGGCTGTGCACTGGGACCTGAGAAGCTGGTGTGGCGAGGATAAAAGGCAGGCTCTTCCAATATGGAAATTCACTGTTAGAGCCTAGCCAGCACCCCAGCACAGTGTAGCAGTTTGGGACCAGCTGCGGCCGTGTAGCTCACCAGAGAAGCTGCCATTTCTCCTTCCCGTGTTCTCACGTTGCTCAGCAAAGGCTGACAAACAGCTATTCAAGTACAAGTACAGCAAACACATTCTCTCTGCTGTTGCCTATTGCGTCCAGGACCAGGGACAGGGAGCAGGGGCAACAACCAACCTCTGGGGATCATCCGGTGTGACTGGTCCACAATATCTCCAAGGCATCTCAGCACCATCTTTTGAGTGGATTTATTTACACCTGATGCCTAACCTCCCAGGTTACACAAGCTTTATGGGCATGCTGACCTAGGGCAAATGGGAAAACATGGGTCCGGAAGTCAGCCAAATGGAAGGTGAAGGCTGGGGGGCGCCAAGGACAAGGCAGGACGTTCTAGCATTTAGACAGAAAGAGGCACTGCAGGCTCTAAGTCTGGAGCTGTCCTAGGGGAGTCAGTGGCAGAGCAATTCAGGGGAAAGCCAGGCCAGGAATTTGGGTTGGGGGAACCCAGGACTCCCTTTAGGCCTCCCAGTAGACACAGTCAAATTCCCCTCTGTGTCCAAAGTGAAGTAAAGATTCAAGGCAACACTCACACTGGAGTGAGGTGGGGAGATGGTTGCCCGGCCGCTCTGGGGTTTGTTGCCTACTTAACACAGTTTGCATCTGTTAAAGGCATGTAGGAAGCCTGAAAGGCTGTAATAAAGAACCATGTTTCTAGAAACCCCTATCATTACATAGTGCTTTGCTGGGGATCATTTGCAGTAGCCCTGGATGTTGGAGTCTGGGCTGCCCCTCACACAGAGGCCCATTTACTCCTCAGCTGCCATTCATACAGCGATTCCCAATAGCACATTGCCCACTGAAGCATCGGAATAGGAATAACACATTTCCCTCATAGAAGCTCAGCTCTGGGCAGTCAGCCTGTCATGCAGCCAGCAGGCTGAATTGCATCATGCATGTTTCCATAGCAGCGGTGTGATGTAATACCCCTAGAATAATGGCTTAGCTGTGGGGCTGCATGCAGGCTTTGACTGAATGAGAAAAGAACCAAAATTGATTTTTTTCATAGCACCTTAGAATTTACTATGTATTTTCACATTCATGATCACATTTGAGTTAGCAGTAGTTAGTAGGCACTACCACCTGTGTCTGCAAAAGAGAGCCGGGCAGCAGAAGTAGCTCCCCACAGTCACACATTCATTCACACTCACGTGGTAACACACCCAAATGCTCTCACATAAGCACGCTCATAAATTCACTCACTCACCAATTAGGTATATACATTTATGCACCTGCTCACACACATGTTTACACACACACAAACATCCTCACGTTTACACACATACATAAACATGTAAAACCCACACATGCAAACTGCTCACATACACACACACTCACAAATTCATTCACACAGGCAAACTCACATACTGAAGCTCACACATTCACTTCCACGTGCACACAAACATGCTCACATAACAACACACTCAGACTCACACACATGCTTGGACATTCAAACATATATTCATAGACATACAATTCACTCACACACATAACTCCCACATTAACATGCTCACACACTCATTCACACACACACAAATGCTCACACCCACATTGATATGCACACACGAACATGCATATAAACAGGCTAATGCATTCACACATGAGCATGCTCACACACACATGTCCACATATTTACCAACTCACACAAACATCCTCACACAATAACACACATAGGCATCCACATGCATACACTCACACATTAATATGCTTGCACATTCACTCATACCCACACAGTGATGTGCTAACACATAAATATGCTCATGGATTCACTTGCACATTAGTATGCTTGCACATTCACTCACACACACTCACATACATATTCAATCACATTCACACAGACATGCTCACTAATTCATGTCAGCACATGAACATACACACACTCATACCTTCATACTTCTAAGTGTGATGAGTGTGTGTGTAAGTATGCTTACTCACGACCATGAGTGAGCATACTTATAAGTGAAGTATGCTCACTTAACACTTGATTTAAACATGGTTGCATGCACAACCATGCTCACATATTCACACACACATAAGTTCACTTGCATTCCCATTCACTCACATGAACACGTGTGTACATGTGTTCACACATGTACTCATGTGTGTACACCATTCTCTCACATGTGCAATTAACATGCTGACACAGACTCACATGAGCATGTTCATACACACAAGCACACAGACACATTCACTCAACATACAAACAGACATACATTCATGTAAATACAACTTCATACACAAATATAATCATGCTTTCACTCACATGGACATGCTCACAGATGCACTAACATGTGAACAGGCTCACACAGACAACCCACACATTCACTCCCACACAATACACTTGAAAACACATACATGCTAACACATTCATTCACCCGTAAATGTGCTCACACTCACATAAATTCACATTCACTCATACTTCCACATGAACACACTCACAGACATGCTCACATCTACTCATATGAGCATGCTTACACATTCACTTGCACACAGACATTCTCACATACACAAACACACTCACAAATTCACTGACACACAGACTGGCTTGCAGACACACGTGCTCACACATTCATATGCACATGAACATATTCATACATTGACTTCCACACACCATACTGCCTACATGCTTGCATGTGCCTACACATTTACTCACAGTCAACATATGCAAGCACACAAATATGCTCATGCATTCACTCACATATGAACACTCAGAAATACACTCACATAAACAGATATGCTCATTCACACATGCTCACACATTACACACATATATAAGTTCACAAATACATCCATGCTTACACATTCCCTTACATGTTAACAAGTACAAATACATTCACAAGTCACACATTCACTCACTCATACATGAAAATACATTCTCTTGCACATGAACACGCTCATAGAGTCATTCCCAGACAACTTGCATGGATATACACACATGCTCACAGTTTTACTCCCACACAAAATGATCAAGCACACAAGCATGCTCAACATTCCCTCACACACAGGAATGCTCACATACACTCACGAGCACACTGACACATTCACTGCGGGGGAACACACTCACAGACTCACTCATCCATGTGCATGTGCTCACATACACTCATGCACACAGTACACATTCACTCAGACATGGACACACTCACATGCACTCACTCAAACATGGTCACACACACCAAAAATCTTAGCTCTTGCTTTGGGCTCATTGCTCTTGAGTTTTTATCAGGATAAATCACATTTAGGAAAACAGTGCTTGACCCTCTTTTCTCTTTCACTTTGCCCCAACACCTTGTTTCAGCAAGTCATGAGCCAAGCCCTGCTCCAGGTGCTGGGCCCACATTAACCTTGAGGTCAGTGCTGCTATTATTCCCATTTTACCCGTGGAGAAACCAAGACTCTGAGAAGTTAGGTAACTTATTCAAGGTCATACAGCCAGTAACTGTAAATGGAGCTCAAAGCCAGGCAGTGTGGCTGCTGAGTCCACCTTCTCACCTTTGTCCTCTCCTGCATGTAATAGTGTCTTCCTGTGTTGTAGGTGCCCCTGTGCCTGTGGGAGTATCCATCTATGTCTCCAATATTGAACAGATCTCAGAAATGACTATGGTAAGTGTGTCAGCTTCAGACATTGGGCTGAGAGCAGGGGACATGGGACATGGAGCAGGGTCAAAAGCCAACTCCAGTTGTTCGGACCTGCAGCAGAGCCCACATGGAGGAACACGGTGCATTTTGAAAATGGCTCATAGACCTCAAAGTGAAAGGCTAATGAAGCTTTGGGGAGATAACATAGGATATTATCTTTGTGGGAGGTAAAGACTTCTCTAAAAAGACCAAAAACACGAACAGTAAAAAAAAGAAAGGTGGTAACTTCAATTATATTAAAAGTCTGTTTAGCAAGAACTTTTTTAACTTCTGTTTTGTAAAACAAACGAACGAAACGAGTTTGACAACTGTGAAAGGGTAAGTCAGAGTGGATGAAGATACCTGCAACACAAAGGACTGATACTGAAAAATATATATAGTTCCTATGAATTAATAAGAATATTAAAAATCAATAGAAAAATGATCAGAAAATCTGAACAGGAACTGCCACTCTTATGAAGAAAATCAGGTAGCAGATAAATATATGAAAATATGCTTGACTCTTTTATTGATTAGTGAAATACAAAATAAGACCACAGTGAGAACCCACCAGACTGGCAAAAAGCAAAAGTCAGACGATCAGAGCGTTGGGAAGGCAGGAGCATTGGAAATTCTCATCTGCTCTTGGCAGAGGTGTAAACTGGAACTTTCGTGGCGTAGTTTTTATGTCATTGTGATTTTGGTATAGATGGCACGTTCACACAATAATAAACAGTGCATATTCATACAAGGAAATGTTAACCAGCAATGCAAGTGAAAATTTAATTACAGATACAAACTTGAGTGACTCTTGCAAATACAATGTGGAGTGAAAGAAGCAAATTACAGATACATACAATATGATTCCCTTCAGAAAAAAATTAAATAAGTCCAAGTAAGCAATATGTTTCCTAGAAATACATACATAGACAATAAAACTCGAACAAACATCAAGGAAATTATTGTTATTAAAATCTAAGACAACGGATATTGCTGGGAAGTACAGGAAATATGTTCTAGAAGGGACACATTGAAGATTGAAAGTTCCTGGTTGTGTCCTATTTCTTCACCTAGATTTTAATTGCACAAAGTTCATTTTACCATTCCTGATATTTAACATTCTTCCGTATGTTTCATTGCTCATCTGCATTTATGATGTAGTCTGTGTACACTCTGAGGGTGAGGAAGAGCTGGGCAACCTCACATGCAACTGGGATTTACCTTTCTCTTCCCAGGACTATACGGTCACAATGGTTTTTCATCAGACATGGAAAGATCCACGTTTAGCATACCATGAGACCAACCTGAACCTGACCCTGGACTATCGAATGCTTGAGAAGTTATGGGTCCCTGACTGCTACTTTCTAAATAGCAAGGATGCTTTTGTGCATGACGTGACTGTGGAAAATCGAGTTTTTCAGCTTCACCCAGATGGAACGGTGCGATATGGCATCCGGTGAGTTCCCTTCCCCAGGGGCTTGGGGACCAGCCCAACAGGCTTCCTTCCCCCCCACCCCACCGAGTATACCAAGAACACACTCTAATAAAAGGACCCCAGAAGAGCCCAGTGCTTTCCAAGTCTGTCATGCACCTACCCCTCACTCACCCAGCCCTGTAGCCAGTGGAACCGTCAGCATTTCCCACAGCCATCCATGGCTGTCCTGTCCCCACACCTTGGTTTCTGCTACTGCTTCTGTCTGGAATGGCCCTCTCCCCATTTCCATGAGCCTAACCATTGCCCATCCTTCCACCCTGCACTCAAAGGCCCTCCTTGGTTTGTCCAGCCGGAAGGGCTCTCCCTCTGCCTTACATTCCATGTGTACATTCTGCAGTTGATCTCTGTGTCTTTCCCTGAGGTTTCCTCCCTGTCAGGAATGCAGGCAGATGCACGCTGAAGCCTGTTAACTGGGGCGGCGGGAGCCAGTCCTGCCATTGGTCATCTTTGCATCATGCGGGGGACCCCGGGGCATGCAGTGCATGTCTGTTGTCTATGGCTCTGTACTCACGGACTGTGTGCATGCTGGAGCGCCTCACTGGCCTACTCATAGCATAGCATGTGGTCGCCGAGGCTTCCCTCGCAGTGTCATCACTTACAACTGGCTCTTAAGGCAAGCAGGAGAGAGAAATTTAGCTCAGAATATTTCTGCAAGAGGTAGCTGCCGAGGTTCAGCTCTATGTCTGGGTCTGTCTTTCTCTAGGGTGCTCCCACTCTGTCCCACTTCATTCCCCTTCCACTTCCCCACAGACCAAGGTGCTAGAGCCAGAGAACAACAAAGCTGACAGGAAACAGGTCACTGGCCACACCTGTTTCATTTAAAGGGGGCCTCAGCTGATCAATGCTGCATGGAGGATTCATAGAAGGGAGAGAAACACACACATGCACACATGCACACACACACCCCACCCACTGTACAAAGTGGCAATTGCTTCAAGGGTTGAAAGGGACTGCAGTTTTCTCAGGAACCGTCACTGCCTGGGCTTGACTCACTTTTCCTTTCATTTTGCATTTTCTTGGTAGACTCACCACCACAGCAGCTTGTTCCCTGAATCTACAAAAATTTCCTCTGGACAAGCAGACCTGCAAGCTGGAAGTGGAGAGCTGTACGTATGTCCCCCGCGGCCCCTTCTTCCCTACCTGGGGTTGTGGCCATCAGGAAACCCAAGGCCGACTTAACAGCAAGACAGACGGTATAGATCCCCGACTCCCTCCCTTCACCTTTATCTCTCTCTCTTCCAGAGTCAGGCAGATAGACAGAGGTGTGTGTGTGTGTGTGTGTATATATATATGGCATCTGGGGACACGTGGCCTTTAGAATGGAAATAGTCCCATTGGGAACTTGAACCCTGCTGTAGGGAGGTTGTGTACAAGCCAGTGGCTAAGAAACTCTGAACTGAAAGTTCTCTTTCCAGGTCCCTGGACCCTGTGCTTAGACTCCACAAAACACAAAGGTGCCCCCAAAGGGCAGGTTCCCACCATCCCCCTCTGGTGTGAAATTTGCCTGTGCCTGCTTTCTGAGATCAGCTAACTCTGTCCCTTTCCTGCTCCCAGATGGCTACACAGTTGAAGACATAGTCCTGTACTGGGAAGGCAATGGGCAAGCCATCCAGGGCACTGAGAAGCTGCATATCCCTCAGTTCAGCTTCCTGGGAAAGACGATAACTAGCAAAGAGGTGCTTTTCTACACAGGTGGGTCTGACCCCTTCCTTCTCTCCTGTCTCTTGTCTCTTTTGTACCCTGGTAAACTCATAAAGACGTCTTCCTTTAACCTCTATGCTTCTGCTGCCTCCTCTCCTATTTCCCTCTGGCTCCTGACAACCTCCAAGGGCTTAGCCAGGTTTAATACTCTACAGGTGCAACAGGTATGTGCTCTTGGCGATAAAAATAGCCCTCCTCACAGGCTCAGCCTCTCCCCATCCATCTGTTTGCAGCTTTGAAGTATCTCCTGTCTCCTACTAGACAACTTTAGTTGACATGGATCAAGTGAGGATGGAAAGAGAGAGCAGACTTGCTAGGCCATTGGGGCCTACTGATACAAGCCATTGTCCCTGGCTGCAAATGAGGTCAAGTCTGCAGACTGCCCTGGCAGGAGTAGTAGGGGCTGAACTGCCCTTTTGGTTTCCCACCCTCCATCCTCTAGTTCACACTACAAATCCCATCAACCCTGCCACCCTGACACTAGTTTGTCTCCTTGCCAGGTTCCTATGTGCGCCTGATACTGAGGTTCCTGGTCCAGAGGGAAGTCATCAGCTACCTGGTACAGATCTATTGGCCTACTGTCCTCACCACTGTTGTCTCTTGGATGTCATTTTGGATGAACTATGAATCCTCTGCAGCCAGGGTGACACTCGGTAGGTCAGCTCCCAAGTGTTTTAGGTCCCACCCTGCAGAAAAACAATGTGTCTTAGCTACAGGTCTGGTTTAACCTCCGCCATTCAAGACAGACTCCTCAGCCCCCTTCTTCAGGAGCATATGGTGGACCAAACCTTTATATTTGTGTAATATTTTAGGACTTCAAAAATCTTCTGAGGAATATGATCCCATTTAATACTAAGGGGCCAACAGAAAGCCTACATACTGGAAGACAAAGGGGGAAGGGGCCATCAGAGGCAATACAGGACTAGAGATGTGAGTCATTGTGAAACCATGACTGGTGATTTGGGGCTTAATCCTAAGAGCAGTAGGAAGTCCCTGAGTCCCTGAAGCACAGGCTGGGTATGAAGATGGGGGGGCCGGGGAGGAGCAAAGAGAGCGTTTGAGTGGAGGCCCCTGGCCCTGAGAGCTGAACATGACCTTTGCTCTCTCTCTGTGGGATGTGAGCCAATGGCTTGCCGGCAGCTTCGGCCACCTGAGGAGACTTAGCCCTGTGCCATGTCATTTGCAGGTCTGACTTTAATGCTCATCCTGAACACCATCAACTCACATCTGCGGGATAAACTCCCCCAGGTCTCCTGCGTCAAGGCCATCGATATCTATGTGGTTGTATGCTTCTTCTTCGTGTTCCTGTCCTTGCTGGAATATGTCTACATCAACTATCTTTTCTACAGCCGAGGAGGGTCCCGACGCAATAGTAGGCGACACAGACGAGCCCAAAGAGTCATGGCCCGCTACCGCTACCGCTACCGGAGCACAGCGCTGCAGGTTGGCCTTCTTCCCTGACAGTCTGCTTTCCTGGCGTGCCTCTCAGGCCTCAGCTTGCTGCTTGACCCCTTCACATTTCTCAGTTTGTTGAATCCTCACACACACGTACACACACCAGAGAACAAAGCAGGGAAGCAAATTCTCCTAGGTCCTTTATAGGTCGAGTCACTGTCCAAGGTCCCAAGGGTGGTAAGTGGCAGAAGGAAACATCCACAGACCTTCAGACCCCAAATCCAGCCCACCAAGGATGCTTCCAAGGGCAGGCAATGGGGCCAGAGGGGAAGGGAGCACAGGGAGACTGAAAGGAAGAGAAAACTGCCTCGGTTCTCCCAGCTCCCCAGGCTGTGCTGAGGTCCCTGCTGTGGGCGGGATGTTCATGTCCAGTCACACCCCCCGTCCTTCCCAGGGAGCCCAACCCTGCCCGCCTGCGTGTGGAGGCCTGGCCTCCATCCACCAGCTAGCACTCCAGAGGGAGCAAGGGCTTGGCAGGAGCCATGAACTTCCCCAACATACTAACAACCTCTTGGTCCTGTTCCTCAGAAAGCCCATGAAGAGATGGTTCTGTCAGTGGAAGAGCTCCACAGTCACATTAGAAGTGCTGCCCGGAGAAGCCCCACCCCTCCTCGCTCCCCGCCAGTACTTGTTCACACGGGATATGACTCTAACAATTCCACTGTCTGCTTGAGAGATGATCAGTTCAGCGTAGAAGACGAGAGTGGCTCTCCTTCCTCCACACCAGTGCCAGCCCACCTGGCAAGCCTAGAAAGCCTCGGCTCTTTGACCTCTATCACAAAGCAGGCCCCACTGGCCTCCTTAGAAAGTCTCAGCTCACTGTCTACCCTCTCAGGCCAGGCCTGGCCAGCCAGCAGAGAAAGCCTGAGCGATCTGCCTTCCATCTCCGAGCAGGCCCTGGATGGCTATGGCACTCGCTTCCATGGTCCCGAGATTGAGGACAGCATTATTCCTACTGAAATCCGCAACCGCACTGAGGCCCATGGCCGTGCAGAGACCCATGACCCAGAGGACCCTGAAGAGACCTCCAGCTTGGGTGAGAACCATGGTCATGGCCCCAGTAGGAGGCATCTGCTTGTCCTCAGCCAGAGGTGTGTGCAAGAAGCAGGCTGCAACCTTGATGAGATCCGTAGCTTGCCTGATGACGTCAAAGTTGAGAGTGGCTTCCTTGGCCTCGAGAAGCAACTCAAGCATGCTGTTGAGACAACCTGGAGCCTTGATGATGATTTCATGAGCTTTGACGAAGACAAGGACAGTAATTCAGAGTCTGAGGACAGTTATCCGCCAAGCCCTGGGTGCAGCTTCACTGAAGGATTCTCCTCCAAGCTCTTTCACCCTGACTACGTCCCTAAGGTTGACTGGTGGTCCCGGATCCTCTTCCCTCTTGCCTTTGTGGTGTTCAACATTGTTTACTGGGCCTACCATTTCAAGTAGTTCCCCATTGCCCCAGAGAGACAGGGCACTGTGCTGTGCTCCTTTCACAGTCCTTATGGTTCCGTTTTGCCTGCTTTTCTTTGTTCATGTTCTTTTCTTGTGGTTATCCGGGCAGTCGAATCAGCCCTGCCTTTCTCTTTATAAACATGAGGTGAGGGGTAGTGGGAAAGGATGTGTTCTGGCTGGAAGGAGAGGGATTGAAGAGAAGCTGGAAGTAAGTAGCACAGTAATTTTCCTTTTCTTCTAGAAGACTATCACTTTTTCAAGGACTCCTACCAGTTAATGCACACAGAAAAGCCCCTGGAAATGTCTAGGGGACTAAGAGGAGCCACATTGGAGCACAGAGGAAGGATCAAAGTCCCATGCACAAACGTTCCTGAGGGCTTTTCTATTCTCCTGAGGTTTTGAACTTTCTGTTTTGTTCCTCCGAGGGATCACAGCCCTTTCTCCACACACACCCCCACTTAGGATTTCGTGGGAGGAGGTCAAGCTGCTTGGGCTGAGCCGCACAGGGGCTTGCACATGTTGAGAGCTGCCTCTAAGGAGCTTGGGAAATCTTGAATGTGCCTTTTCCCCACTATTTTTTCTGTTATATTTTGAGTGTGGTGGTGTAGCTCAGGGCTGACGGTGCATGTGGGTGGGCAGGCGGGTAGGGGTGCCAAGCGAGACGTCAGGGTAGGTGGGAGAGCATGTTTCCCATAGGAGCTTGCAGGGAGTGATAGATGTCAGGTGAGCAAGTACCCAGATTGGAGAAGTGAGAATTTCTCTTGTCTACATGTGTGCATCAGAATGCTTGACAGCAGGGCCTCCATACATGTGTCTAGGTCAGATGCTTAACTGACCCACAGTCACAGAGCAAGCACTTGGTGAAAGGCTAGCATTAGGAAAGTTCACCATCTAATCTCAAACAGCAGATGAACAATTGTTGTGAATCTATATACTAATCCTTTCTGTTTGTCTAGTGCATACCTAAGTACCAACAAGCTTACTGACCGACAACATCATCAGACTGTCACGGGAGCCCTGTAAGCCAGGGAAGGCTCAGGACCTTGTGCCCAGTGTTCCAAGGGAAAACGAGCTTATGAACTAAGCTGGGGACATCCAGCCAGTGCGTGGTGGAGCTGCCCCACCTGCTCTTTCTTCTTGTCCTCTTAAGTCTCAACTGAAATGGACCCCTTCTTCCCTTCCCCTTTACAAAAGGGGGTGTTCTGTCGGCTTCTGCTTATCTGCCAGGCACCAGACATCACCCTGCAGCACGCAGAGTGTCTCTGCAGGAAGAGGCCATTGACGACCAACACGTGTGAACCGAGCACGGGGGGCATGGATGCTGCCCCCGCCCCGGAGCTCCTAAGGCAGGAGAAAGTAGCCTACGCTCCAGTCTGCCAAGCAGCCCCACCTGTGTTCCTCATTCCTCCCCAGGCAGCCTCTCCTGCAGCTCCTCAGCCACCTACCCTGTTAACTGTGCTTCTGTGTTCGTGTCCTTGTGTCTGCCTGGCTGTGTGTGCATCAGGGTAGTTCTGTGCACACATACAGCCATTTGAGAAACTGTGTAGCTCCACATGGATCAGTGCAAATCTACATCGTTGTGTGTATGAGTGTATGCATGACAACGTGTGGATGCATATATGTGTGTGCACGCATATGAAAGTGTATGACTTTCTGGCTTCTCTATGTGTGTGCTTGTGTGTTCTGATGTGGGTGTATTGTGTGTGTGTGTACAGTGCACGTGTGCCTAAATAATTCCGTGTTTATCTGATTGGAGAGGGTATGAAAAGAAATACACCTGAAAGCGTATATATTTCCTGTCGGTGGCTCTTCTAGAACCACCACATTCCCTTGGCCTCTTCCCACATACATGGGGGGGCCCGATTGGCCAGGCTGGTTAACTGTTTCTCTCCAATTCCTCTTCCAGGGAGCAGTGTCCCCCAGTCCCCATCCGCTCCGCTCCTCTTCCCTCTACCCACCTGTGCTGTCTCCTGGATACAAGACACAGGAGGGAATGTAGTCCTAAGAAGTGATCATTTAGTGCCTTGAGGTAGAAAGCGCTCAACGGCCTGGTAAGCTGGGAGCACACAGCATTTTGCTGTGTCCTGGAAAGACATGTTTGGGAATAACAAATGCAGGGGTGGGGAGCCTTGAAGCTGCATCGGGAATAGATCTGTGATAGTGACCATGCAGTGGGAGACTCTTTGTGTGTAGCCTTTATAGCTCAGTCCCTTATTGCAGCCACCTTGGAAGCCAGAGCAGCTGCAAGCAGGGTGGCAGATGTGAGGGCCTGATCCATGGTATTGGCTGTGGGCAGCAGAAGGGAGAGAACCGAAGGTGCTTGGGAGGCAGCTGCAGGCACGGCTGTGGTGGGGGGCCTACGTGGGGCCACTTTTGTAGCCCATCCCACAATGGCCGCTGGCTGAACTTCAGCCTTAGGTTTGGAGTCCAAACTCCCTTCTTCCAGCCCTTCCAAGGGAAGAGATGGTCAGAGGGGTGTGTGGGCAGACCAAGGAGAGCCTACATCAGCCCAACGTGTGGTCTCTCTTGTATACACAGCATGCAAGTAGAGCCTCCTACACTCACGCCCACAGAGCTGCACCGCCACCCATCTGTGTATGCACACGTGTGCTCTCATCCTCAGCAGCACATCCATCTATACACACACGTGCACCAGCACTCACATACAGCCATGCATACATCCACATGCACGGCTGCACACTTATTCTATTCACACACACATACGCACATCATGGAAGACAGCTAAAAACGAAAGTCACTGATGGGACGTCTAAGATGGCTTCTTTCTTTCTGGACATCCCGCACAGAAAGATTCAGGTTGTGGGGAGAGCAGTGACCCACATGTGAACCTCCCGTCATGGCTACTGAAGAGCTTGCTTCCTGGGGCCCAAACATTAGTTGGTTGATTTGGACTTGGGTCTCCAACACTCTGGAGGGCCTTTGGGCCCCGTGGGACACAGCAGTTCATTTGGGGTGATGTCAAACAGAAAGACTGGAACAGTGGTGACAAAAAGGGCTTTTAAGGCGTGCCCGGCAGCAGTGCGCCGGAAAGCTGCGGAGCACGGGGGAAGGGCAAAGAGGCCACCTGTGCATGCCTGTGTAGACCCGCGCAGCTAGACACATTACCATACCTTCACAGGAGCGTCTTGCCCTAACATGCTGCAACGAGAGCGGCTGACTCCGCTGCACGCACCGTGTGAAGTGAAGGGTCAAGATGAGGTGGAGGTTTGGCAATGACACCTTTCCACAAACTTGAACCTTCTGAGTTTGCCATGGCCTTGGTCATGTTAGCCTGAGAATTGCCAGATCTCCCCTTACCATGGTGTGTGTGTTCGGTCGGCCTCAGTGTTGTAGTTGAGCCCCATCCTCAGCGGTCCTCAGCTGAGCAGGCACCCCCTCCCCCAGCTAGCTGCCTACACCCCCTCCCACTCCTCACCCCACACCAAGTGACTGGATGTGCAGAGCACGAGGGGGGCGCTCCTGGGGCTCCGCCCATGGCACCTTTCTCAGCCCCAGCCCCTCAGAGAGTGCTTGTGGCAGCAGATCGCTAGGAGCCTGGGCAGAGGGAAGGGTCTTGCGCAACCCCTATTTTACTCCTCTACCCATCTTCCCTTTCCTTTCCTCACAAGGGCTATCCCATTAAGGGCTTTCCCCCTGGAACCCCTCCTCCACCACTCCCACAGAAAGGACACCCTGGGTCTCTCCAAAGCATGATTTTGTTGTGAAGCTGTGGGGCATGTTTCCTGCAGAGTTCTTGCCTGTACCACCTGCCGCGGCGGGGTGCCTTTGCAGAGATAATGGACAATCTGTTGGGTCTTCCTGGAGCCTGTCAAATGTGTTCTTAAAATCGCCATCAGCTTGTCAATAGCAAGGCCGCAAAGTCGTTGCATATTTAGAGCTGCGTTTTCCTGAGACTGGCTATTCCCAATGAGGTTTCCTTATTGTGCACATAAAAAAGCCAACCCTTTAAGCTATGCATTCACTAAGCTTCCCACCTGCATGGCGCTGTGCTGTGGCGGCACGCAACACAGGAAACTGTGGCTTGTCCTACTGAGAGTGCAGTCTGCTCGTGGTTGTTGTATCGTGTCCTGTGATCAATATGAAATCTCTGTTATCTGTGTTGGGTTTGGGGGGATGTTACAGTATCTCCCTGATATACTTCAATTAGGAAATAGCCTCAGTTGGTCAGGGTCACCTCTGCTGACATACATGTGTACGACTTTGAGGTCAGCAGTCCTCAGCGGAACCGAAGGCAATTCTTCAGAGGGTAGCTGAGGCAGTGCCATCCTGCAGACAGATGACATACGGTACAGCAGGACACACGCAGGTCTTTGGGAGTGGAGCTGGGCCCAGGCAGTGAAAACCAGGAGAGGAGGAGAAGGACCAAGACCCACGTGTCCTGGATGGCCTGACCCGCAAAGGGCACAGAGCAGGAGATAACTCCCAGGATGGCCTGGTGGCCAATTTGTCCTCGTTAAATGTACATTTTTGCATGAAAAGGACCTTGACCAGTCGTGAGTTCAAAAAGGAAAACGTGAGGAAACATAAAGTATTGCTTCTGAAAAGTAGGCTGAAATAAACATTTGTAAATAGCCAAAAGAAGAAAATAAATGCACTTAATGGTAAATAAACTTATGGGTCATTGTGTTTCCTGTCTGTTGGCTTGAGAGGGAGCCCCACCTGGATCCAGAGAGCCTTGGGCTTCCGTCACTCACCTTTGCTTGCTCGTGGCTGTGCACATAGATCTCCTCATGCCCTGGGGCATTTGAGTCGTGGTTTTCAAGTGGAGGGGGAGTGGTAATGTTGCAGCTGAAATTAACTTCAGGTTTGCACAAGCCATTCTAATCTCTTGAAACAAAAATATTAAAATGTCAAGCTATTGTGTCAAAATACAATATAGACATAACCATCTGGGGGAGGGAAAGGTCAATACAGACATTTATGTCCATCTGGGGGAGGGAAAGGTCTTCATAAAGAACATTTTTAAAATTCGCCTTTGCCAAGGTAGATGTGCGAATAAAAAGCAGCTAGACACATTACCATACCTTAACAAGAGCATCTTGCCCTAACATGCTGCAATGAGAGCGGCTGACTCCGCACCGTGTGAAGTGAAGGGTCAAGATGAGGTGGAGGTTTGGCAATGACACCTTTCCACAAACTTGAACCTTCTGAGCTTGCCATGGTGGTGGGAAGGGGGCAAGCTCAGGTTTTTAAAGGTTTGCAGTCATTTAAGACATCCTGCTGATGGTGCAGAGAGTGCTTGTCATGGCCCACATTTGCCACTGCACTGGCCTCCAAGCCCCATACAACACAGACTGTGGAGTTGCAACGGGAACCCAACCTAATGGCTCCTCCTCTGTGGCCTCTCTGGGCAAAGCTCAGGAGAAGCGTGACACCCTGCCGGGGCTGAGCCACCCGTGGTGGGTGCAGGGCTGGTGTCATCACAGGTACATGCAGGAGGAGGAAATGCAGGTGGCTTGGGGAACATTTGCACAGGACATCTGGAGCCCACCCTTAGCTATGGAGTTCTTTTCCACTGCCTCAATTCCTGCTGACAAGGGACATTCTGAAGATGGCCCGTGACCTCAGGTGGAGCCTGTGGCCCTTGAATGGTTCTACTGTCACTTGCTTCCCACTGAATATACAAAGACCCTAAGGGACTGGGTGAGAGACGGGCCAGATGAGGCTCCCTTACCTCCTGCAACCTCCCTAACCCGCAAGGTAGAAGAGCCCTTGCCACACACTGTCCAGGCTGGCAGCAAGGCCTCTCTTCCTGCCTCCCACAGTGGCCAGCTTCATCCAAGCCCTGGCAGGGCCTCTCAGGGGCCTGCTGGCTCTTCCATGGTGCTGTCGACCCAGTCCAGGTCTCTCCCAAGCTGTCCTCTGAAGCAGAATCTCAAGGGAATTAGCAAGGGATACAGGACTGAGGCAGAGATGTTTTATTTTTTAATAAGCTCAAGGGCATTTTTTGTACTGATATGTTTAAAAGTCATAGGGGATAAGGCCCTAGTCATCACGGATTCAAGCAAGTTTCTGTCCAATGTTCTGGAATGAGCTCAGTGACTGTACAGTGATCAAGTGTCAGAATTTGAACCTGAGCTCTTCTGACGCCAGGCTAAGGTTTGCAGCAACAGAATGCAGTTCTTGTTCCTCTACTCCAGATTTCTCAGTTTCAGTTACAAATCAGTTTCTTAGAAAACCTCCCTTTAATATTACATGGGGGAATGAAGGTTAAAAATGTATTAGGGATATTGGGCCCCAGACCCCTTCTCTATGGAATACTCTGCATACCCTTGGGAGAGACCCTATCCATTTGGGCGTCTCTTCCAGTCCTCTCCTTTCCCAGCCTCTGACAGTGACCCAGCCATTGTCACCCCAGGCCAGGTGCACTGCTCAAAGCTCTCCGCATTAGGAAGATTTTCCCTTCCCACTCTCTTTCAAGACCACCCCCAAGCACATCCAAATCTCAGGGCCACCCTCAAATGTTCCAGGACAGACAGTTTGGGAAGCCAATTCTGCCAAATGGTCAGGGAAAACTAATCACCTTTATGTCAACTCACCCAAACATATAAAAAGATGGGCAGTTGTTCTACTCATTCTCCGAGGCTACCTATTCCAAAACTAGATGTGGACATACCACAAAAAGAATACTTGTGCCAAATTCACTCACATAGCAGCAAATACCCTAAAATAATTGTATATTCAACAGAGCAGTGAATTCAATGAACAGCCTGTGCGTGAGGATTGAAAATACCATTTAACATTAGAAAATACTTTCAATTATAATTCCTTACATTAACAAATTAGAGGAATGTTTTTTTTTTAAGTTTCTGCTCCCATCCATGGGTAAAAAAAAGTTTTTAAAGAAACCCAAGACAAGCTCATACTTAAACATTCTAGCAAACTAAGTTTGGAAGAACTTCTATTTCCTAAAATAGACAGTCAACATACTTCAGTGTGAAATGCTAGAAGCGTGCCCATGAAAGTCAGGAACTGCACGCAGGTGTGCACTCCGCCCTCCACCAGTCACAGCTGCACTGGAGCTCAAAGCCAGAGCGTGGATGGCTGGGAAATCAGATATATGAATATCG